TCAGAGGAAGAGGAGCATTGAAACATATCAACAAAATCTCTTCTGCAAGGGTGGCAGAACTCCACCACATTTCTGAGGCCCCATCCATGCCAGCCGTCATCAGTGTTCACACCAGCTCCCTCTGGCATGACTAGGCAAAGCTGCTGCGTGCCTGGCGGCTCATCCCCGTGGGAAAGCCTGGAGGGAAGCCAGGGAGAGTGACAAGCTGTTTGCCTGGGACTTGTGCAGTAGGGCCAGTATTGGCAAAAGGGAGGCTAATGGCAGTTGTGGAGAGTACGGGAGTACTGGAGGGAAGAAAAGGAGTCTCAGGCACTTACACCAGGGCTGGTGGGAGATACAAATGTTTAAATTGGCATCTTGCCCTAATGTTAGCCAAAAGGTGCAGAACTTTGTTAAATCACTCAGCAGGAGTTCAGACTCGAATGTTGTACAGTCTGGGGAGTGCATGATAAGCCAGACACATACAATAGAGAATGATGTGAAGGCAGTTCACAGGAATGTTTTCTTATATAAATTGTATTTTTATTGGACAGACTTTTAATTTTTGTCATCAAAACTTGACTTCTCTCTTGCGAGTGCTGAGGGGGGGAGCTTGCAGATTAATTAACTGGAGGTAACTTAGTGTCATTTTGTTTTGGGTACCAGCTGCTGATCTGATAAAGTGACTCCATGGAAAAAATGACTTTTATTAAGTATGTTCTGTGTATATGATACATGCTTGAATTACAATGGTGCTTCTTCCTGCAACCTAACTGTGGGAAGAGTTGATATGCTCAAAGGACTTTGGCAAAGCAGTTGTGTAAAGAGGCGGTCTAGGAAGGTAGCGTCTGAGAGCCTCAGGCAAAGATTATTACCTCTGTAGCAGGACAATGCTGTCTGGAGAGTCTTTGTCTTCTGGAGTCAGATACTAAAGTATTTTTTTATATAAAAAAAAAAAAAAACAACAAACGCTTCAAGGAAGTATTTATCCGTAGCACCCTCTTCTGGGCAAGTTCTTAGTGTCAGGATTTTGTAACAACAAATATGAGCTCTTAAGATCTTTTGTATTGTTTTAAATTGCTTTCTCTCCTAGGTACCTCTAATGTCCTTGGAAGCTTACAGCTTCCGACAGAGTAACAGTAAACGATATGATGCCTACCAATGATATTACCATGTGTAAAATACATTTTTTTATTTTCTTCATTGCAGTAGGTGCATATTATTTATTAAATTGTTTTGAATACTTTTCTTTATAACAGTTCACCTCATGTTACATATTCTTCACATATCCTCATGAAGATGCCACACATGTGGCTTTATACAGTATTTTTAGCATAACCAGTGAATATAGCAGAGTGAAATAAGCGCCGTTTTAGAAACCCAAGCACCTGCAAGATAGCTTGCTGTTGTTCTAAGGGAAACAAGGTAGACCTAATTTCATTTAACTTTTTCCTGCAATGATAGCTTTTCAGTTATCTGCTTGTCATTTTCTGTGTGTTTGGAATGCCATAATGATACATATGGGAGCCACTGGGGAGAATAGCTTAGAGTTGGTTTCTCAGTCATACCTGGCACTGTACTCTCCATAAACAGTCCCTTTAGGCTCCTTTTGGTTAAGAAGGGAAAGCTTTTTTCCCATGAAACCATGGAAATTTGAACATGTGGGCTTTACTTTGCCAAATGTGCACCTTTCTGATCTGCCACAGATTGCCAGCTTGGTTGCTATGGGTCCCTTGTTGGAAATGCTCTGTGTACTAGGTGAGGTTGCATCTAACTGGGACTTTTAACCTGCTTCTGGCAAATGGGGCCTTACGTGATCTCCTGTTTTGCTTTGTACTAAGTCTGAATTCTGCATCCCACGTTCTGGCTAAGAGAAGTGTCCAAGAGAGAAAGTTTTTATTAAAAATAATATATTTTCACAGAAATTTCTGTGTGAAAGCCAACTCTTGTGCATTCCTGCTAACTTACTTTCTCCTCATTTGGTACGGGACTTGGTAATGCTGCAAAAAACTCAGTATCTCCAGGAATTTAGGGTCATTGGAGCCATACAGCACTGATCCTTCCCTGATGGATAACTCCCATTCCTATTGCCCACAGTTGCATACATACATTGAGGAATAGGTGGATGGGATGTGGCAGAACATGCTGACATGGTAAGACGAGGGAGGTTGAACACATGAACTAGGAGTACCAGAAAGGCTAGTAAAAGAAAGCTACATGTATAGAAGAGATGAGTAGGAGAGTAGAAAAGCGAATGATAGGCTAAGCATTTAGAAGTTAAGATCTTTACCTGCGTTTTTATGCAGTTCAGGCTTGAACTTAGCCTCCATAGTGAAAGTTGAGCATGTGGAAGAGGGGACAGCTGGGAAAAACCCACCCAGCATGAATCATCAAAGCCCTGGAGGCATTAAGTACCATCTGTATGAAGAACCCAATTTCACCAATATTTAGCTCTCGGGGTCAGCAGCACAGCATGTCTGTTGCCGCTGTGTGCTTTAGAGCACAGGTTTGTGAGGTCAGATGAGAGCAGCCTGTGCAGTGGGGTATGGATCTGCTGGGAGAGTATATACTCCAAAGGGTTACTGGCTGTTGATTATGGCTGCCCCACTTCTCCATATGGATGTCTTCCTACAGGACTTCATTTTGAGCTATGGCTGTGTTTAGGCAAGAAACTGAGTCATAACCGTATTTTAATGTGAGCTGTTAAGGTGTCTTCCATCAGGAATCTTCAGTCAGCTGTTATAAGTGTGACTGATCATCACCTTGACATGACTTTCTGCAGGACAAAAAGTATCTTCTGTAGCTGTCCTTGATGTTCAGAATAAAGAACATTTTGATTGTTTTCTGCTTTTTAACTGTTTAACTTTCTGCTTTTTCTTCAGAGGATGTGCTGAGTAAAGATGCTGGGGAGTGTGCAATATGCCTGGAAGAGCTGCAGCAAGGAGATACTATAGCACGGCTGCCTTGTCTCTGCATATATCATAAAGGGCAAGTATTCCTCGGGATGCATATAAAATTCCAGAAGGTCACATTTATTGGGTAACTCCTCTACGGAGTGCCTAAAGGAGCACTAAAACTTAGTCGCTTTTTACATTTAAGAGAACAACAAAGAAACAACAGCAGCAACCCTAAAGGTGTTTTTAAAATGACATCTTCCTGCCTCTCCACCAATGTATTTGAAGTCAGTTTTCCCTGCTGTAATCTTCTCATGGTTCCATGAAAAGCCCACAGAGGAAAAATGCAAAATCACCTGTATGGGGAAGGAGTGCACATCATAGCTATGGAGTTTAGGTTGTATGTACCTACATAATAAAAGTTGTGTCAAATGCTAATAGACTTGGGGGGAAAGGGAAAACACTTTTTAGACCTGTTTTGTATTTGTTTTTGTGAGTGTCTGTAATGACAGGAAGTAAAATGTCAGTGAATGATACAAGCAAGATCATAGTGTTAGTAATGAAGAAACCTGTGTATAAAAGCTGGACAGTAATTTGTAAAATGCTTCCTTAGAAAATTTCAACACTTAAACACTCATTCAACAGCGTTTAATATCCAAATATTATTGTGGTTTGGGGTTATTACATTTTCAATGAATGTTGAAAGATGTGTATATACGTATACCTCTTTGTATGATACGAAATCCTACTATTTAGTGAAATTAGGAGAAACCAATTTATATTCATATCTTACTGCTGAATGTTAGTGATATTCATGTCAATTGTTTTCATTTTTGTCTTGCATCCAACAGCTGCATAGATGAATGGTTTGAAGTAAATAGATCTTGCCCTGAGCATCCATCTGATTAAGACAAGATTCATGTTTTTAGGTAATACTTATTTTTAGATGCGTACATTTTAACAATAAATATCTTTATTATCTGAAGTAACTCTCTATGCTATTTTTTTTTTTAATTTGTGAATTTGCTACTGTGTCTCAGAACTGCAATATTAATCAGTAAGTATTGACGTATATTGCAATATGTAAAAGGCTTTTGCATCCTTATATGGCATGGTCTGAGATGATGTATTCCCGGTTTAGTACTGGAAAGTGGCAAGTCAGTGCCAATAAAGCTTTAGCATTAACTTTTAAAGAGTATTTTTTCCATGGAAATGAAACAAAACTAAAATAATACAATTGTGTAATTTTGGATTGTTCCATGAGTACTGGCGTTTATTTCTGCCGAAAGCTTTTGGAATCATATGAAGAACTTGAAACTAGGTATTTTCAAAACCACTTCCATGTTAATGCATTCCAGAATGTTTAAAATCTATAAATAAAAAAAAAAATATTAACATGTTTCTATCCATCCCATCTCAGAGGTTCACTTTTTTCCAGGTTATGTCTTGTGTTAATGATTTCCGATCTACAATCAGTGTCAAAGGTTTAAAGGATATGTTTATTCTTTTAGTTGACTAGTTCGAAAACTTTATCTTGCATTAAACTACTACCACTAAGCACTGCAAAACACACCAATAATCATCATAATTCTTAGAGAAATTGAGATACCCGAGATTCTGGCTGGTAGCTGAGGCTCTGGTTTTGTTGTTCTAATGGAAATTAAAATATCTGAAGTCTTCATCATTGGCATTTATTTGTTCATTTATTTCATCTTGCTTCCTGAGTCAGCGTTGCAGGTCACATTGCAGTGCTATGGTTGTTGCAAGGGTAGCAGAAAGAACCTGAAAGAAGGTGTCCTGCTACAGCGATAATTGTTTTAACCTCAGGGCAGTGTTAGCCAAAATTAATAAATAAACATGTTTCCTATATTGCCCCAACAACTTAATTGTGGAAGAAGCCCACATGCTGCTTATGAACACGTTTGTCTCTTTCAATGCTCATAGGTGTCTAACCTCATGTTAAATCCAATTTGCGCTTTTTCACAGCAGAGATGGTGGTAATTGGGGGCTTAGGGAAAAGGGGAAGGAAAACACGGTGGTCGTGCTCATGCTGTTTGAGTATGTTATATACTGAAATAGCTGAAATGATGGTACTTTTGTCTTCTGCTTTTTCAACAGCTGCTTCCACTGATCAGAAAACATAGGTGTGAGGTTCCCTTGCTGAACACAGCATGCCTGGCTTGAGACTTACAGTTCTTTGTGGCTGAAAAAAGCAAAGATGGACAGTGACATGGAAAAAGCATTGCAGACACCAGTTACTTGCCAGTACTGCTCGGTATACCAAACACTCATGCAAAGGACACACAGGGATTCTGAAAATGCTGCACATTCTGTAACAATCGACTCCCCACAGACATTACTGACACTTTTGTATTGAAGGCCAAAGTTCCTAATTTCAGCCTAACTTCTGGTTCTGTGAAGAAGCAGGTTATTGGACATGTTTCCTACTGCCTCAAGTGGAAGCGGAGACGTTCGATACATGCTATCTGAGACCTTTACAGGAGGATGGTGGCCCCAGTTTTGAGTGGGAACGTTTTCACCTTCTCGTTGGCTGAAGAAGAGTAAATGGCAAATTAAATATAATCTAACAGTGTGACCTTAATTTACTGAATTCACACCCTGTTTTATGTTCTTCACTTTTTTCAAGAACAGAAAACATAAACTTCTCTGCGTAGGAATACTGTATTTCAAAACTTTGTAACTAAACCTTTGTCACAATGCAGTCCAAAGAGTAAAACCAGGACAGGTAACTAATTTATATTGATCAAGCTATAAGGATTGTTGAAATCTGCACATTGTATTGCTATTTAAGTAACTAATACTTCTCTTTTATTGCTTGTGAGTAAAAACAACAAAAAAAAATGCAGCAAAGCAAAATCTTACAGCTATGCAACTTTTTTTTAAATAGGAAAAAAAAAAAAAAAAGAAGAATTACCAATTTTAAGTGCTGCCAGTTAAGGTAATTTCTTTAACGGGTATTTTTTTAAAAAAGTTTCAGGTAATTATTTTGTTGTACTACTCTCATCTCCAGGCTGCCTCCTGAGGTGTAAATGAATAACTACAAATGTGGGCACAGCAAGAGGTTTTTATAGGCACGGGTGAGATAACATCGAGGTGGGATTTGGGTTTAATTTTTAAAACACGCAAGTTTTTGTTTCCTTGTTTGAATGTTTTTTTGAAGGCAGGATCTATAGTACTTTGCATCTAAATCCTTGGTCTCTTCATGTACAGACCAGCATTTGACAGTGTGGTTTGTTTTTTGGTTTTGTTTTGTTTTGTTTTTTTTTTAAAAAGCACCTGCATTTGTTTAATTTATTATTATTTTACTGTATTATATCAGTATAACCAGGGCTCCATGAAACACAGGATGTCTCTGGGGGAGTACACCAAGTAAAACTGTGGATAAGTATTAGTTCCCATAAAGTATCACAGTTCAAAAAAAAAAAAAAAAGACAGGGAAAAAAAGACAATAAACTGGAACAGATATCAGGGCTTAGAAGCATACTTTTTATATCAGAATTAATCATAGTAGTTTCTGAATTTCACAATACAGGGAAGAGTTAAGAATATTTATTAGTGACAGCATTTTTAGTGGATTTCAACAGTTAAAATAAATTGCACAACACTTAGAACATTTTTCTTGAACATACATAATTCTGCTTTTCTTTTTTTAAGTACATATTTCTCTCTGTTGCTACTGTGATTCATATCAAAAAGGGCAAAGAGCAGGAGCAACTGCTGCTATTGGAGAACAATGCAGTGCATGTTACTAAACTCTCCTATCTTGCTTGCAGAGCAATTCTTGCCTGGATAATGTTTTCTCTTGAATGTTGCTCTGTAAAATGCCATTGTTATGCTGCAAATCTAAAGGAGTCCAAACTAGGTAATTGTCGTCATCACCAGTGCAGTTTCTACATTTTTGGGCTTGCATCACTGGTTTCAGCTGAACCTGTAACTGTGGGGCCCTGTTGTACTCTCTTTTTCAGTGGGAGCAGAACCATTTTGTCACACTTTCAATTCTGTAGTCACAACAAATGTACAGTTGTTCCCTGTACAGATTCCTTTTTAGCTGAGAATATTTGTGTTGCCTTGTATTATCGGGGGGGGGAGGGATGGGATGAGGAATTACAGCACCTGTAATACTCGAATAGTGGTGTTGCCTGCAGGCCCACTTTCCCAATATTTTAAATTCCTGCTATCTTCTGAAAGTAAAGTGTTTGCATTTGCATTGATTTAATGTTTACTGTTGGCTTCCTGCCTACAGAAACTCACCTGTAATAATGTAAAGGGGTTAGGTAAGTGTTTTGGTGTCCTGTGCTCCAAGGTCATAGATAGTCTTTGGCTTGGGGATTAAGTAGGTAAATATTATAAACATAAATCTGTTTACAACTTAAGCTCAGTTTTGGTAGTTCATATTTCTAGTTCATTTGCTGTTTTTTCAAAAACCTTAATTTTCTGTATTCAGATGCAAGAAGCTGGTTTAAAAACCCAGCAGTTATGACTGCTTGAAAAGCATGCCACTAGCAATCGCACTGATGCGTGGTTTTGCAGGCAAGAGTCTGTTGCTGCTTCCATCAGCATGGGAGAGCACCAATACCTTGGATTATTTGAGGAACTAATAGGAGGTCAGCCTTAGATTCTAGTTTGGCATTCTTGGTATCCATAAATCTCTTCTGAAAGGCTATGGGAGGTTTTCTTATATCAAAACCTGTAGTATAAACCAAGCCTAGAATGACCCTGGAAGCATGAGAGTGATGCTTGGAGTTTGAAAACACCTGTGGAAATTCACCTACGTAAGCTTTCTGTGTTGGTCAGTTGCCGTTGACCATGCTGTAGATGTAGTCATAGGCAACACCAACATCCTCACAGTGGTCCTGAGTCCTTGTGCTTCAGAAAGGGAAAATAAACACCAAACAAGTCCTGCGTCTTGATCAAGGAATACCACACTTGTCCACAAGAAGCAATAACTTAAATTACGGTGCGATATGCTTCTTTGCCTGTAAATATATTGAGATTGCCAATTCTGTGTGGTTTCAGAGTATTTTCTGTCATCTGGCCTATATCTTCCCTAAGTATGTGAGGGTGTGAAATAATTCCCATACTCAGGTCTGCCATAAACATGCTGCTTGCCAGAAGGGGAAGAGTAGACTCAACACTGTCTTGAAATGTGAGATTTTTCTGAACATGTAACATACCTATGTATCTTGAGTAGCAACTTGTGTTTTGCAGTTCATAGTGGAGGTGGCTGTGAGTTGGATTGTATATAACCCTACTCAGTACCGAGAGCGCCATGCTACTGTCAGCACTGGGCACCCATTGCCCTGTCTCTTAGAAAGCAGTATATCTATAATAACCCTTTCCTTTCAAAGGAGGTAGCTAATTTTCTTTCAACGTGTACATTCAGCGATGAGTTCAGTGGGACGTAAAAGCAAAAATACCAAGCACACTGCAAATTTGTGGTATTTTATTTTGGGGAAGAGTAAAGCATAAAACAGTCTTATTTGTAATCAATTTAACTTGCATAGTCAAGGGTAAATGTACTGTGGTATTTTGAAACAGAAAATATGTAGGTAATGTACAAAGATATGGGAGGATACTTGTGACCTTTTCTGTTTTCTCTGCTTCCCCCTTTTATGATGTGAAGGGGGTTTTATGACTTAATCTTGAGATTTATACATTTATCCTAGTTCTTAATGCTAGGAGCACTGACTTTTTAATTAAGCCTTTGCTGAAAGGCTGTAGAGCTGGTAAAACTGACTCCCAGAAGACTAAAATCTCAGCGAATGTGGGAAAGAATTTTTATTCAGAAACGTGGATCTTGGGTGTTTCTGGTTGGATAATGTCTAATGCAGAAAATGTGCTTATGGGCGCTTTTAGTATGCCGCCTTTTCCATGTGAGGGCTTCACAAACTTGCTCCATTTCTTCTGTATTTCACCAAAAACAGGGAACGTGGCACTTGAATGTTACTGCTATCTGTACGTAAACAGCAGCAAAGCATACGTTGGTTTTGATGCAGGCCAAGATCTCTCTGAGTTTCTGTGAATTTTAGCTGATTTCCCATATCGAAAGAGAATATTTTTGTGCAAATTTGGTATTGCTGTTTTGTAGCTACTAGTTTTGCTGTACAGTTGGGAGTTTCCTGCCATGAGACTTACGTATACCTGGGAGCGCAGAAGTGCTACTATGGATCTTCCAGCTCACCTTTGCCAGTGGAGGATTATCCTGTTTTTTGATGAGTGTTATATTTTACGATTCACTTTCCACCCTTCCAAGCTTAAAAGTCATTTTAGTATCAACTTCTTCTCTTCCTAGCTGAAGACATGATACATTTTAGGCCATATTCTCTCAGTCTTTGGACAGGCTTTCCATTGGCATCAGCAAAGTGACATAAGAGGTTGTAGCTGGAATAGGAGGGCTTGTCAGGGGTTTTAATACAACCCAGTCAAAAGTGTTTTTTCCTGCAGCAGTGTCATCAGCTCAAACCACTTCTTGTCCTCCAAAATATTGTGTGAGAAAGTCACGATAGAACTGTGTCCGGTTTTTGGTTCCTAAATGTAAAACTTCTGTGATGTTTCTCCATATAAATTAACCTGCTTCTCAAATCAGGTTGAAGTTGTTTTAGCCTGTTGGGGAAAACAAACAAACAAACAAGCCAGTCCTTACTCTCAAGTTGCATTTGGTTATCTTACTACACAGTTCGGTTCACTTCCCAAGCTGCCGCACCGTGTTCTGTAAAGTCATTTCTCAAAGAAGTACATCAGGGCTGATGGTGGGATAAACTGTAAAATGACCTCCCTGCGTGGCTTTACTAGTTGCTGAAGACTCGCTCAGGTAAACCATCGTAGGAATATCGCGCACCTGAAAAAGGTTGGACTTGGTTCTGTCTTTGATTTAATAAGTTGCCATCGTACAAGATGTAGAAGGCAGCGAGCCCGCTAGCTGATCTTTCTGGCAGCTTTTAATCTATGTATGTTTGTTTGAGAGACTTTTGCCCTTGGGTGTGCTTTGGCAAAGATTTTGCAATGATAAGTAGGATTTGCTTGATTCTGGCAGAGTTTCAAGTGTAAGTAACCCGACGTTGCAAGTACATAATCTGTTGCTGAATCCTGTTCCTCTTGTTTTCTCTCAAATCTGTCCTTTTTATTGCTAATTTGTTATATTTAATAGTAAACATTTCTCAACATGGCTGGTCACAAGCTCTCAAGGTGTGAAATGCTAACAGGAAGAGACATCAAAGTGTGATTCTGTGCTTTTCCTGTGCATATTAAGATGAAGCTGAAGTATTCCTTATTGTACAGTCAAGAATTCTCTCCTAGCTGATATTGCTGAAGCACTAAAACTTCCAAGGAAGAAGGGAGGTGGCTTAGCTGTAGACAGGATGTTTTAATGAACTACTTAATTTTATAAGCTGCAGCATCATACGGAACAAGGGGTGATCTGGCGTTAACCTTATCACTTGATTGCAAATCTCGTTCTGGCTCTTCTACCCTTTGGCAGGTACCTGCTGGTAGGGAGCAGAGTGTATATTCCCCTTTTTTATATGCCTCATCCCACCAAGCTAACCCTGCCCATAACGAGTTAGAGGGAACTCCATGCTACCTTCTGAAATGCCACCTGTACGTGCAGTGGTAATGGACAAGATGTCTTCCTTCATTACCCGGAGCAGAAATCAGAATGTAATTTGCAATGTCTAATGTAAAACATGTATTTTATTATTTTTTTTTTTAATTGAGCAGTATGATTGCAATTTGAC